GTTTTATAGAAAGATGATCTAGTAAATGCTTTAGTTAAGAATATTTATATTTTTCCAATTCTTTATACTTTTATTCACACACAAAAAATAACATTCAAACACTGAGAAAATTAAATAACTTAGGAAGCAGAGCTCATTGTTTTCTGCTTACATATAAGTGACAATTCTGGGCTGTTGGCACAAAATAATCGACATTCATAAAACCCTTACTACTGTATATCAAACATAAGTTAAAACCATAGGCACTAGTTTATCAAATCCACGTTTCATCTGTAAGACTAACCACAGTAAATCCTTAGATTTTCCCAAACAGAAAAGTTGCGATACACAAAGACTTTCTAGTAAAAAGGGAATTTTTTCTCTTTAGGAAACTAGAAGTCAATGGTGTGTGGTAGTACAACAGCAGGTAAAATAGTTCTTTACCAAATTCAGATCCAAAATATATTTTAACAAGTGATGAAACATTTTAATTTAAAAAAGACATTCTTTTCTGAAGCAGCTATTTAAAAACAAAGTTAAATAACCTGAATAGTCTTTTTGAAACTGATTATCTAACTTAAGAAATGTAATGTGTTTCATAATAGAGTTAAAATTCCTCTTAATTATTAGAATGCAGCGTATATATTTTTTGAATGTTGCACTGAAAACTAAGACTTGTTTTGTTTTGTATGTATTTTTTAAAAGAGACAGTAGCTCTTTCTTTTACTTACTTAGGACAGGAGATAACTCCCTCTCAAAAGAAGAGTCTGTATCTTCCTCTGAAAAGCAACATTTTTTAGTTCATTATCATGTAGAAATCTGGAGCCAGACTTTCCTGAGCCACCCCATCACTCTCAAATTCAAGAATAAAGTTTCTTCCTTGTATTATATACCAAATATATAGTACTGGCAGTTTAAATCTCCAGCCGCTTGTACTAAATGAATGACTCCCCTCTGGTCAAGCTGATAGACTACCATGGAGGTCATAACAGAATGGAGGCCCTGGTTTTAAGTTTTTATCATTCTCTCAACCTATCAACCTTAATAATGTCCTGAATATCAAGCCTTCCCCTTGTCTCTCCCAATCTCTTTTGCCAACTTACGGACTGTCTTTATCAAGAAATGAATTTAGGTTCAAATCTCTAAAAGCTTTTATATGAACTAACTGCCAATATGTTAGAGCTGTTCAAATTAAGTATTTAAAAACAGACCTCATCATAAATAATGAGAGGCCTGCTACAGAAGGAAGTTTTGCTCTAGTAAGAGTCTGATAAAAACTGAAATAGGCAATTTCAAGGGTGTATTAAGAGCCATTAGAGAGCAACTATTTATCAGGTTAGAGTCATATGTAGCAGGTTTGTTACCAAAAATGCAAAAGCTGATTCAAGGCAGAATCTGACTCAAAAGGGAAAGAATTTTCAATAGACATTTTATACAGTTACTCGGTTTAAAGTGGATCAACTTAAGTAGGATTTAGCAGACTATGTTTTCCTACCACATAATAGACCATTATGCCATGCAATAGCAACGATATAACTGTCATCACTAGAGATTTTGTAGGTTAAGTGTATAGATTTCTTCCCCCCACCTCATTGTATGGTTTTGTTCCAGGTTATAAGCACTGAGGTGGTGTTATATCAAGAATAAAGACACATACTACTTGTTCTTTCCTATCATATTCTTTATATATTTTCTGTGTTTCTCTATACTAGACTCCAAGTTCCTTGTGGGAGAACTCTGGTCTTACTTGTTGCTGTATCCTCAGGCCTTACTACAGTGCTTAGCATATGACAGCTATGACATCTATACCTGTGCTGGGTTATCCCTGAAGATGTCACAAAGCAAATGACCTGTTTGCTTTATAGCCATAGTCACTACTTTTGAAACCTTATCTGGTTATAATATACATCCTACTAGTGTTTTTATGCTGGAATAAGCCTGGTAAATATCTGGAACCCACTCTAGACCCTGAGTCATCTTTCTTCCATGGAGGTCTAGGAGGAATTATTATGATATCTCAGTATGAAAATGAGAAAGTAGGTTCAGGAGTCTTCGATTTAAATAAATTAGCAAGTCCATACAACAATGGATCCAAATCAATGGTTTCATCCTGGAACTTTCTTTCCTTTGTTCTTGAAACATATCCCAGGTACGCACTGATTTAGATCGTTACCTCACACTCATCCTAAGGCCACCATGGAAATGTCTGAGAAGTCAGTGAAGGTACAGGGTAGTCACGCTGTTACTCTAATGGGTTCACATATCTTGTTTTGAATTCATTTACATACTCAGTTATTTTGCTTTAGTAGTTAATATACTTCTATTAACAACTAGTTACATTTGATTATATTTTTTTCTTGGTAAACTGTACATTATTAAGAATTCAGATGAGTACTTTTTACCTTTCTATGGTTCTTATTGTTTGTTAGTAAAAAAAAAAAATTTAAAGTACAGTTCAATATTTACTTGTTTATAGATCATAGCACTTAAATTCTAACACAAGACGTTTTCTCTTTTTTTTGACATTTCAGTGCCTTGTAAGTTGCTGCAGAGCAGCTTCTAACTGGGGTCCATATCTGGAACAACATTGTGGGGAGAGATATAAAGGCATGACAGATCCCAAAAAGAGTCTGACAGTGAAATACCTACTGTTAGTGGCAGCAGAAAACCAGAATGAGATCTCATTGAAAAAAAATGTGATATTTTTACCAATGGGGGAAACTTTTTATTTGTATGTTAACTGAGTAGGGAAATGTACATACTATATCCATGATAGTATGATTCTTTTCACATTTAAGCAGGAATGCAATATATAGTGCTCAGTCATGTGCTTAGTGTATTTCTTTTTGGATTATCTATCTGTAAAACAGACACATACAAATAACAGTCTCTATATCATAATTATATTTTTATAAAAATTATCATGTCTAATACGTTGAAAGCTTTTTTGAGCTAATTACTTAGAAAAGTTACATTTTCCATTACACAAGTTTTCAGAATATTATTTACTTGTATTTTCTTAATCTACAATCTTTCTTTTCCACAAATGTGTGGGGAATATAAATCAGTACACTTAAAAGAAAGCATTAAAACTTAAGGCCTCACTTAATTAGAAATGTGATAAATATATGGACAAATGTATTATGAATACTATAAGAGGATTGTAGCTTAATATTTTTATCCAAATATATTGAAAAACATCATGCATTTGTTATAGTTCATGTTTTCTGTGTGAACTTAGCAGCTAATGTTCTTTATGAAGAGTGACTTAAGAGAAAAATAAGGATCCTATGGCCAGTAAGAAATTTAGAAAATGAAATTTTTAGTACTTCTTCTCCCATATACAATCTTTCTTCTGTGGGTTATTTGGAACGAAACTATGACCTATTTAATTTCTATTGTGTTTCACGCAATTAAGAGTTGTTCATTACACCCTCTGAAATACACGTTTTATTTCAAACAGCATATGGACTGAAATATTAATGAGAAAATAGCTTTAATCAAATCTAGCATTTCATGATTGTGATACCTGACAGAGTGATTCTGTCTTAGATGAATAAGTTATTACTTACAGGTGATAACTTGCTTACATACTATTAGAAGATAAACTTGTCAAACTTGTCAAGAATGAGAATAGTCAAATTAGAAAGTCCTATGCCCTAGTTTCCTTACAAAAGATAATTAAATATATTACTAACAGCTTTATATATTTTTATATATTATATACTGACGACAACTGGTTTAAGTATCACAACCTATGATGATAAACACTGCCTACATATATAGAGAACTTTCATCAATTCTTAAGTTTCTTAAAAAAGGGTTCAGGGAACTTATAAAACTGAAATTATCTGGAATATTTTCTATGTGTACTTCTACATGCATTTTTCTAGGGATAGAGTCCATGGTTTTCTTCAGAATATCAAAGAAACCTGTGACCTAAAGAAGTTTAAGTACCGTATACACTACTGCTGATATTTTGTGCTTGGAAAGTGAGTGACGATAGAAGGAATAATTTTTCTTACGTATTTTCAATTGTTTTCTCTTTCTTGTAATCGAAGATGAAAGGAGTAACAAATTAAGGGGTTTATTTAATTTATACTGGTAATTTATCTAGGGGGAGGGGACATGAAACTAGGTTAATAGGTAGGCCTCTAATTGAATTACTTCAGTATGTACATATGTATAAGATGAAATTGCTCATTCTGAATGTTTCCTTTGAAGGCAGATCAAATGCTGCTTAGTAAACTTTAAGAGATTGTTAATTCCTTAGTTATACCTGATTTTATAAAATAATATTTTAAATAGATGGCTAACTAGAGGTTAGAAATAGTTTTCCTTAACTTTAATCTACATTATCTTTCATGCATTCCACAACCACAATTTGGTACTATTTAAGGTGTGCAATTTTCCATAGGTGACTTTTGCAATTCAGGGAAGATTTTGGCATTTTAAATGAAAGAATATCTAATTGGGAAAAGTATTAAGGAAAGAAATATCTTTCAAAATCTGACCACAAAGAATACTTAAAGGTTTTTGTCGCTATCTTCATAAATGTGTAAAGCACAGATATTAACAGAGTGTTTGGTGCATATTGTAGGGTGCTCAGTGATAGTTTTTATTATTATACCCAGATTCAACAATGGCAAGAAACACCATTCTACATAATGGAAAACATTTCCATCAAATCCCACTTACTTTCATGCAAACTTGGAGGCAATTTATGATACTGTATTGTAAACGGTTAATGACAACTGTTTTTCACAGTTGAGCGAAGGTAAAATCACTTATCTCAACTAGAGTCTGTTTACTGTAGCTTATTTATTAAGAAACTTTTGAACTGCTTTTGTTTCTCTATTGTGCTTTAATTCCTTCCCCAATAAATATATTTTAGCCATATGTAATCAATTACTTAAAGTATACGGTAAGAAACTTGGTATCTGGAATTTTTGTATTTGACATGGCATCCCCTCTCTCTTAAAAAATAAGACATTTAGTAAAAACACACAATCAAATGAGTCTGCTCAGTGTCTTTAATGATTTCCACCACATGCATTACATGCTGTATGCTTTTAGGTGGATTTCCGGTGATGTGATGCACCTCTTCTTACACGCTGGGAAACTAGAATACGTTCCACTTCAGCCAGTTTGTATTCTACCATATTGAGGCAAAACAATATTTGTTTTTGCATGGCCATGGAGTGTGGGGAAGTATTTAAAACATCCCGAGAGAGGCTGTTGACTGAAAGACGGTTTTCTGTGTTGCTGTTAATTAACCTAGTAGAAGGGGGTCTTACTAGTGCAAGAGCAGTTGAATTTGATGACATTTCGCCAGTTGATATTCTGTTGGTGTTTCTCTGTAAAGGAAGGAAATTATACACATGTAGTTTATCGAATTAAGCGATTTCCAAACTATCGAACAACTTGGCTAATTTTGGTAACCAAAATAAACTGATTTCCCCTAAGAGGTAGAAATTAAAAATGTATTTAATTACTACATTAATTCAAAAATATATTCTTCCAAAACCAGACTGAGAAAAAATATATATGAAAGTAGCCTTTGGTGTTAATGTTCCATATCTTTCTTTACATTTCCTGAGCAGTCCAGTAGGTAAATATATAAACCCCGTCTTTGACTCTTACCTAAAAGCACTTCACTTGTGACTTTAACATCAAGAAATCCACATTCACACTTGAATTATTCGTGAATGCCCAGAAAGTGTGCATAAAATGAAGACGGTGAGATTAGCAAGCAGACATATGGGGGAGGAGAAGCAAGAGAAGAGAGAAGGTACAGATTCTTTTTTTTTTTTTTTTTTTGAGGCGGAGTTTCGCTCTTGTTACCCAGGCTGGAGTGTAATGGCGCGATCTCGGCTCACAGCAACCTCCGCCTCCTGGGTTCAGGCAATTCTCCTGCCTCCGCCTCCTGAGTAGCGGAGATTACAGGCACGCGCCACCGTGCCCAACTAATTTTTTTGTATTTTTAGTAGAGACGGGGTTTCACCATGTTGACCAGGATGGTCTCGATCTCTTGGCCTCGTGATCCACCCGCCTCAGCCTCCCAAAGTGCTGGGATTACAGGCTTGAACCACCGCGCCCGGCCGAAGGAACAGATTCTTAAAGTGGGAGATGGTGGTTGGGAATGGGCACTTACAGCTGCACATTACTCTCCAATGAGTGAAAAGCTGTCCATATAACTTAGGGACTTGAGGATTTTTCTAAGAGACCACAATTGTCAAATCACTGGTCAGAATACAGGAATTGTGGGAGTAAGGGGTAAAAGTCTGGGGCTCCTTCCAGCGGAATAGAGGAAAGAGGTACTCTCCCTTTACCTCTCATTTTACTATATTTTACTCTCTTACATACACACTCCCCAGTCCATATATTAATCTATCTTCATCTAATTCAAATCTCTCTTACATTCACCATTACCTGAAAGCGATTTTTCCAGAAGACGAACATTAAGGCACACACAACAATGCCGCTCCCCAGAAGTAAAAAGACGTACATGGCTCCTCTTTGGCCTCTTCTCTGTTCTCCTCAGCTGGTAGTTGGGATGCAGTGAGCCACTAGCTGCCCGAATTTGGGAAACTTCGGGCCAGGATACTAGGTGTGGTGGACTGCCTGGTGCAACTGGGATGGTCTGTGTTGTCCTGCCTCACATACTGAAGAAGGTTCGAAACGTCATAGTTGGGCACACACGTGGTGGTGCTGCATCACAATAAGATGACGTAACATCCGCCCCTGCAGGAAACCAGGCAGTACTTAGCAACTGCCCACCTGGTTAGTGTGATTACAGAGCAGAGTGAAAGACAATGAGGAAGTTTGGGATTTCCGGGAAGCTGAAATGTGGTAGAAGTACAAGCTCCATATATATTGGTTAAATAGAGTATCTAAAAAACTGACCAGGCGCAGTGACTCACGCCTGTAATCCAAGCACATTGTGAGGCCAAGGCGGGTGGATCACGAGGTCAGGTGTTTGAGATCAGCCTGGCCAATATGGTGAAACCCTGTCTCTACTAAAAAAATACAAAAAATTAGCCAGGCGTGGTGGCACACACCTCTAGTCCCAGCTACTCGGGAGGCTGAGGCAGGAAAATCGCTTGAACCCGGGAGGCGGAGGTTGCGGTGAGCCGAGATCACGCCATTGCACTCCAGCCTGGGTGACAAGAACGTAACTCCCTCTCAAAAAAAAAAAAAAAAAAAAAAAAAAAAAAACACTGATGCTGCGCCTAAAAATATGTCTTTGTTGCAAACAGTCCTTTATTCACTTCAAAAACAAGACAGAAATGCACTGTAAAAAGTAGTTACCCACAAATTATCTTTGCCGGAAACTACTTACTCCACACTCACACTGCTATTTTAGAATTTACTCTAGCCCTAGTCACACTGGCATAATTATGTACGTTTGCATCATTTAACAGTTTAAGAAATAATTTTGGAGACATTTTCACACATAAGCCTCACAACAAATTTATATTAAAGGTATTATTTTTTTAATTTCACATTTATACCGTGACATTTTGTTTTATTATTTATCAACTTGCATTTTAACTTCTGGGATATACGGGCAGGATGTGCTGGTTTGTTATACAGGTAATCATGCGCCATGATGGTTTCCTGCACATATCAACCCATCACCCAGGTATTAACTGCAGCACCCATTAGCAGCTCTTCCTGATGTTCTCCCCTCACTCATTCCTGCCCACCCCTCACAGGTCATGGTGTGTTTTGTTACCCCCTACCATGTGTCCATGTGTTCTCATCATTCATCTCACACTTACAAGTGAGAACATGTGGTATTTGGTTCTCCAGAGCCAAGGTATTTTTACTACTGTGTCTATTTTTGCAAATGTGGAAGCAGATCCAGGTGTTAAACTCATTTAAAACTATTAGCAAAAGCAGGACTTGAATCTGTGGAGGTTGGACCCTGAGATAAACTCCACCATGCTATCCTTATCCACATGATCTTCACCTCCACTCTGATTTGTGACCATCGGGCATTTAACATTATCCAGCGAAGGAACTGAACAGTGTAGTTGGATTTGTATTAATGGGAGGTAGCAGGTACAGGAATCATTGCACTAGGCAAGTTAGAAATGTTCAAGAAATTTAGTTAAATGTAGACTATAGATACAGGAAGCAGGCAGAGAAATGCTGGGAAGGGAAGGGTGTGTTCCCTGGCTAGAGCTCCACCCACCCCCCAGGTCTGTGCCCATGGATGCAGGTTCTCACAGGCATGTCTGTTTTCTTGTCAAACGGTTCATTTCCCAAGACAAACCTGGCCTTCCATGTCCCCATGCTGTGCCTATAAAAAAAAAGCTGGACACCCTAGCAGGCACAGACACAAGTGGCTGGATGTCCAGAGGAGCACACCAGCAGAATCCACAAGACACTGCATGTTGAGAGGATGTTGATGGGTGAGAGCATACTGACAGTCACTGATAGGAAAACTGGCAGACCACTGACTGGTTGAACAATGCAGAATTTGTTTGGGGTGCTTGGAGGGGAGCCAAGATGCTGAGTGGCCCAACTTTAGGTGAAAACCACCTTTCCACTCCATCTCTCTTTGCCTCCCCGATCTGCTGAGAACTACTTCCACTCAATAAAACCCTTCGCTCCTTCTCCAAGCCCATGTGTGATCCAGTTTTTCTGGTACACAAAGGCAAGAACTCTGGATACAGGAAATTCTCTGTCCTTGCAATAACGCAACCCACCTATAGATACCAAAACTGAACGAGCATATAGTAACACGAGCTCTCTGGGGCCTCAGGAGCTGTAAACATTCACCCCTAGTTGCTGCCATGAGGTTGAGCCCCCCAACTTGCCCATCTGCTTGCTCTGCCTAGGGGTGTTGTGCAACAAGGCACCAGAGAAGTGAGCCAAACCCCCATCACAGACACCCTGTGATGGGGACAAGGGAACCTTTCTCCATTCACCGTGACACTGACCTAAGACCCAGAACTTAAAAACAATAGCCACCGTAATCTCAAGGTGATCATCCAACTACAACCCGGTAACTCTGCTAGGTAAACAACCCTCATCTTCATATATATGAGAAGGGGAGTAATTATATTTTTATTTTTCTTATATCACACCATTTCCTAGTCATGAGTACAAAGCTTAACATTTTATTGATTCAAATAATATTTATTAAACCCATATTAGACATTGTGTTGTATTTTAAGAATTTGATTATGAGCAAAAATAAAGTCTTTCTCCACCTGGAATGTGCATGCTAGTGTAAGAGACAGATATTAATCAAATACAGAAATGCATGTGAAAGTGCTGAGATAAATAGTACCAAGGAGTATGTAGTGGTGTGGGAGCTCATAATAGGATATGGGACCTAAAGGGGAGTGAAGTAACTGGCTTTATGGCTTATTCAATGGGATGGATAGAAAATGACCAAGTATGGAGTTGCTGATCATTAATTTAGTCTTGGACACATCAAATTTGAGGTGACTTTGAGATAGGAAATGAATGGAGATAAGTGAAGACATAAATTTGTGAGTCATCTGCATATAAATGATAATTGAAATTCTAGATATAAAAGAAATTTCTTCATGTCAGTGTATGGAGTACAAATGATGAGAAGTTTGAATAGAGCTTTGAAAGATGTTAATATTTAATGGCTGGGCAATGATATTTCTATTAGTTTGTGAGTTCTGATATCTAAATTTCCTGTTTCATTGAATAAAAGTCAGTGTAGCCCATTAAGCTTATCTCTAACAATAGGATTTTGAATTTTGATCCTACTGGTATTTAAGTAAAAACTACAGAGATCTTGGAAAATATTGTCATCAAACACATTAGAGTACTGTTGCTAATCATTGATTTCTTAATTTTATTTTTAATTGTAATACATATGTAACATAGAATTTAACATTTTAATCAATTTAAAGTGTACAGTTTTGTGGCAAGAGCTACATTCACCTAGTTGTGCAACCAACACAACAATCCATTGCCAGAGCTTTTCCATCTTCTCAAACTGAAACTATGTATTTATGAAACATGAACTTCCCATTTTCCTCTTTCCCTAGTTCTTAACAACCACCATTCTATTTTCTGTCTCTATTAATTAGATACCTCAAACAAGTAGAATTATGCAATATTTGTCCTATTCTGAATGGCTTATTTCAATGAGCATAATATACTCAAGGTTCATCCATGTTGTAGCATGTGTCAGAATTTTCTTTCTTTCATGGAGGGCTGAATAACATTCCACTGTATGTATATACCATATTTGGCTTAGCCATTCTTCAGTTGATAAACTCTTGTGTTGTTTTCATGTTTTAGTATTATAATTAATGCTGCTTTTAACAGGAATGTACAAATATATCTTCAAGACCCTACTTTTTAAAATTTGGGTATATACCCAGATGTGAAATTGCTGGATAATACAGTAATTCTATTTTTAATTTTCTCAGGAACTTCATAGTGTTTTCCACGGCAGGTACACTATTTTATATTTTCACTAACAGTGCACAAGATTTCTAGTATCTCCATATCCTTCTCAACACATGTTATTTTCTTTTTTCTTCCTTTTGTGTATATAGTAGACATCCTAATGGTTATTAAGGGGTTTTATTGTGACTTTGATTTACATTTATGATTAGTGATGTTGAGTGTCTTATCATGTGCTTATATCTTTGGAGAAACCTCTACTCAAGTTGTTTGCCTGGTTTTTAATTTGTTTGTTTCTTGTTGTTGAGTTGTAGTCGTTCTTTATATATTCTGGATACCAATCTCTTATTAGATATATGACTTGGGAATATTTTCTTTGTTCCTGTGTGTTGCTTTTTCACTCTTTTAATGGTGTTCCTTAATGCCCAAAAGTTTTTAATTTAAATGAAGTCCACTTTACCTATTTTTTTCTTTGTTACCTGTAATTTTGTTGTCATATCTGGGAAATCACTGCCAAATCTAACATGAAGGTTTTCTCAAATGTTTTCTCGAAGAATATTATAGACTTACCCCTTAAGTTTTGTTTCTTGCTTTTGAGTTAATTTTTTATATAGTGTAAAGGGTCCAACTTTATTAACATCTGTAGATCCAGTTTTCCCAGCACCATTTATGGAAAAGACTAATTATTCCTCATTGAATAGTCTGGGCATCCTTGTTAAAAATTAATTGACCATATATTCAAGGGTTTATTTCTATGCTCACTGTTCTGTTCAGTTACTGCATGTGTGTCTTTATGTCAGTAGCAAATTGTTTTGACTACCATAGCTTTGTGGTAAGTTTTTACATCAATGAATGTGAGTTCTCTAACTTTATTCTTACTTCTCAAAGCAGTTTTGGCTATTCGATGTCTCTTGTGTTTCCAAATAAATTTTAGGATGGATTTTGATATTTCTGCAAAAAACATATTGGGATGTTTCCATAGAATTTGCATTGACTCTGTAGATCCCTTTTGGTAAAATTGACATTTTGAGATTGTTAAGTATTTAACTCCAATATTACAGCCTATATTTTTATTTATTTCTAGCTTCACTAAATTATTTCAGCAGCATTTTATCATTTTTAGTGTACAAATGTTTTGCCTACTTCATTAAGTGAATTTCTGTGTTTTATTCTTTATTGAAACTATAGAAAATAGACCTGTTTTCTGATTTTTTTTTCTCAGATTTTATTGTTAGTGGACTGAAATTTAAGTGAGTTTTGAGTGTTTGGATTTTACATTCTACAACT